AGCATTTACATTAAAAATAATACTCCTTCAGAGGAGAATCCCATGAATGTATTTTCAGATGTCTGTAAACCCCCTTATCTTATGCAGTAATCCTAATATCAAAGGAAACATAAGTTCCTGACTTTATAGGGTCATGACTGAGTACACAAATACTTTAGGCATCAGGTCGAAAAGTTGAGCAGTGTGGGTTTGTTACTGTGTCCACTGCACTATGAAGACCAAGTTTTCCACAGGGAAAATACAGATGCATAAATATGAGCCATCTATCCTGCATTGAAGAACTGCATTGCATGAACTAATGGCAAGCTTCTTCAAGCCTCTGGCAGTGAATTGCTTAAATGTTTCAGCAGTGCATTGAAGACACACCAGCTGGGTTGAAAAGTTGGATGCACATTAGTATTTCTAGGCTACAGTGATTAAAATGTATGGCTCCTAGGCTAGAAGGCGCAGAACTATAGATTTTGTTGAAGCAATCTGTTTATCACTGTTACTATAAGCAAAAAGCAGTAGTAATGTGATGCCTTCATTCAAATAATTCTCTTATTTGTGCACTGGTGTTTGACTCTGCTTTGGCGACGTCTGTCACATTTTACCACCCATAAAAATAGTGATGAATGAAAAAAACCCCACAAGAACATCTTTGCCTTAAGGAACATCTCTGACTTTTGAGTTTTTGACCCACAATCATCAAAGAGGTGTAGGGATCAGCAGACAGGAAAATGGTCTAGAAGCCAGCAATTGCTATTTTTGTTCTTGGCTCTGCACAGTACTGTCTTGCTGCAGGTCCCTGAACATGTAATTTCACCTTTCTGTTTTTATTTCCTCACTGAGGCATTGTTTTTTCTATTTAAGTGGAAGTCATTGTAGCAGGGATTTGCACTTTGTCCTATGCTGAGTGTGATGGATTCTCTGAAACCTATTGACTGGGCTAGCTTGCTTCTCCAACTGTCAGCATGCAAAGCAGACATCTATCATCACCAATTAATCGCATCTGAGAAAGTTCCGTATGCCTGTTCAAGATGACAGATGCATTTGTCATTATCATATTGTAAAGCAACTCCCAAGCTTCTCTCTTTGCATGGAAGCTGCCCAAGCATGATTTTTTTTTTTAGGAGGCTGTCTCAAAATAGTTTCTGGGTTGGTACTGTCAGCGGAGGTTTTAATAATATTTTCAGTTCTTCAATATGTCATCTCTTCTGTGCATAAGCGGTGTAAAAATCTTTGCACTCAGGAAAGTTTCCCAGTTTCCCTGAACAAAGAAATTCTTTTATTCCATTTAATTCAGTACATAACCTTATGCTAACTTGTCAGTTCACTTCTGTATGGTGAGAAAACTGCTTAAGGACTGTCAGATACCTATCTCATTCTCCTATTAATGTGAATAGGTTACACTCAGTCTCTTGTGTTACCAAGAACTTGCACTTTTTAATGTTATTTCTTTATTATGCATAAACTTTTTCAGAAGATCACAGTATATGCTCAATGTACTCTGTACGTCAGTTCATTTTGTGTAAACTTATTCAGGAGACATGGTAGCTCTGAAGTACAAGGTTAATTTCAAGTCATTTGGAAGGGTTATTGAAAGTTGCAAGCCAAGGGTCTCTGGAGGGGCTTGTCAGATACCTAAGGGCCACTTACATTTAGGCCAGTGGAAACTACATAAAAATAACTGACCTTCCTCTCAAACTCATTTCCAAATTATCAGTGTTTATCGTATAATGTGAAGCTTCCTCAATTCTAGAACAAAATATTTTCAGAAAAAAAAGTAATCGGAACTGACATACCTGCTTTAAGTAAGCTTAAGTTAGAGGTGGTTTCTGGCAAAGCAGCACCTCATAGAACACATCAAAGAAACATATTCCATTCTTAAGAAGGCCTTTGACATTTACGAAAACATTTGTCATTCAAAAAACAAATTACCAAAACTGTATTTTCTTGAGGTACTGATCAATCTACTCCCAAACTGGTGTCTTACACAAGGGATACTTGTTTCGGTATAGTTGGGTTTTGATCAAGTGGCTTCTACTGACAGTAATCTGCTCTTCATACTGGGTTTACCACCTACAGCTGAAAATGTATACTTTATTAAGAACACATGTAATTCAACTACAAACTAAAAAACCCAGTTACTTGGAACTCCATGTGGCATGTATTTTATATATTTCATTTGCATAAACTTCCTCAAAGAAACATATTGTAACTTCTTTGCCACTACTGTGACAGGCTTTATCAAACTAATCTGTAAAAAGCATGTTTGCTTGTTTTTAGAGGCAGTTTTTACTTTGCTTATTTAGTTGCTAAAACCTAATCTTAGACAAAGCATAAAGACACTTGTTGATTTCTTTTTTAGGTAGCATCCAATCCACTTATTAACTACAGTGTAAGAGCTGCAGGGCTCTGGGGGGTTTTGGTCACTGTCTGCTACTTGTGCTATTTAAAGATACAAACTAAGTAAAACTGACGTTACATACACTCTTTAAAATACGCAGAAAGTATTTATTGATCTTTGTCACTGGTTTGTTACACTTATTATTATTAATTACTTTCACAGCGTAAAGAAGGATTTGCTGCTATATAGGTAATGGAATACTTCCCTCCTGATCAATTTATTGGAAGTTGTCATATGTGAAAAACATGTTGCTTGGTTTCAGTTTGTTGGAAGAAGTTTATAGCATGATTAAACTGAGAGATTCCTTGCAGGCAAACTTTGATGATGGAACACATCAGACTGTCATTTTCTATGGTGTGAAGAAATCCTGTATAATGATCCATAGAGGGCAGGTGATTTGGTAGACCCCGAGTTAGTAAATACTTTATCCTTTTTAGGATCAACATGTCAAATTTTGGCACTGATGCTAAATCACTAGTCATGCTTATGCATTTACCTTTGGAGGCAGAATACCTCACACTGTTCAGCTTCCCTGTAGACTTTAGGATGATTTCCATGACAAATGCATATCTCTTGAAAAGAGTAAGCAAATGGGCCACAATTTTAAATCAGTATCAAAGTGAGCCCAAACCCTTTAAAAATAACCCTAGGCTTTTTTTTTTTTTTTTTTTTTTTTTTTTTTTTTTTTTTTTTTTTTTTTTTTTTTTTAAATCTAGGACTGGTAGAAAGTTCAAATAAAGCTGTAAATATTGTGCTGCTCTAAATAGGAAAAGGACATAGCATTAGCATTACAGATATTTGGGGTTTTCCACTTGACTGTCGTAACCTCTGCTTTATCTAGACCAAGTATGAGTCATTTACTTTTCATACAGGCCCCCACTTTCCTCTGGCAATGACAAAAGGAAATGGGTATAGCCTGTACCTGTTGAGGAGATGTATTATTGGCTGCTGTCCATTTATTGATGGCGTGGAAATCCATTGCCTTTCGCCATTGCTCCTTATGACATCCTATAAAATATTGTCAAATTGAACCCTGTGGGATTGCCAAGGAAAGTATGAGGACACTAGGGAGAGGAGCACCTGTCCCTTGCAGTAATCTTTCCTCTCACAAGTTGCAGTGTCGAGTGGCTGTGTTTTCCTAAAGTCTATGTCAGAAGCATTTCTGAGTCATTCCTCTTGCACTGATGTACATCGTTGCTGTGTTTTGGGGAATAGGTTGGAGCACTTTCCAGGAGGCAGCATTCAAGGCAGGTGTTGGGTGAAGGTGGCCCAGACTGATTTGTTGGTTTGTTCTGTGGAACAGATTTTCTAGTGGAGTTTTATTGCTGATCCATTTAGCATCCTCCCAGCATTTCACTGCGTTTAAACACCCATGTTTGGAACAAAGCCAAGCTCCCAAATGAACTTTGTCGGTTACCTAATATTAGAAAACGTAAAACAAAGGCTCTTACTCTTGCAGCCTTGGCTTCTCAAATGACTCAGTCTGCATCCACTAAGAAAAGAGTCTGCTTTTAAAGATGACGTAGAGTAGACTAGACTTAGGTAGATTATTTTTCCCCCAAAACTTCACTGTAATCTTTTCTTAATTAAACTATTCTGATTTGGGAGGAAGGAAATATTTGTGCAGTTGGATAATTTCACATTTGTTTGTACAAGTATTGTGAAGTAGATATTATTTACTATCTTAGTCAAACATCAGAGAAGATCTGATCACTACTGGATCTTCCATAGAAAAAGATTTTCTTCCTTATTTGTGCATGTTTTTTTACTAATTGGTCCCCTATTCAGGACATATGAGCTCTAACCCTAAATTTGTTACTGACTTTAGTGCCTTGTGCTGTTTCTGTATTGGGTTTTTTGGCATAGTTTATGCAGTGACTCACTGTGTATATGAATAGAACTAGAGATATCATGACCTTATGTAACAATTAAAAAGTTGGGATCATTACCTGTTAAGATACTTCTGCAATTAAGGGAGTGTAAAATTACTGTTACATCTGTGTGTGCATTTGGTATTTCTAATAAGGTTGTTCCAGATCACTATGAGAATATTTGTGTATATATTTGCATATTATGTGAACATTATAAGTAGTTATTTGTATTTATGTATATAAAATGCACACATCCACTCCTTATATGCTAAAATGATTCCAGGGCTTTCAGGCTTTGATTGCTGAAGCCAAAAAACCAGTGCGACAAATTCTTATTGCAGCACAATTTTTCTCTCAGAAATTTGGTGCTCATTACCTAGGCACTCTTACCTCAGTTTCTGGCTGGTTCGTTAACCAGTTGTAACATAATTGTTTGCTTAAATTACATCAGTTAACATTCTAGGCTCACTTTTTTCTGCCTGGGGGAGGTTAATTTTAGGCTGTGTATTTCTGGTGGCTGGAACACATATGTTCCCTGTCCCTGCGCAACTGGCATATTTCACTCATTAACTGTTTATTTCAGCTGCACTGTCTGCTTTCTGTGGGAACTGTGAAGATTTGAGATGCTAATGCACTTTGAAAGACAGAAAACAATCTCAGTTATTCCCTTAAGACTGCCAGGCTGGTAGGAAGGCCTTTAATAACCTCAGCTTATGTTTTGTTATATGCTGTTGTTTCAGGTTCAATGGATCCAAAGGACTTTCTGAGGGAAGCACAAATAATGAAGAACTTGAGACATCCAAAGCTTATACAGCTTTATGCTGTCTGTACTTTGGAGGACCCAATTTATATTATTACTGAGCTGATGAGCTATGGAAGTCTTCTAGAATACCTTCAAAGTAAGCAAATGACTATAAACTCATTTCAAGGGGTGCCACAGCTGTCAGTTTAGTAAATAGACTAACATAAAAGATAGAAGTACAACACTCTGGTTTAATATAAAAACTACATTATTTGTCACGTGTGGGGATGAGAAAAGAGGAAAGAAAAAGGTTTATGAATTTTTGACGAGCCAAAGTATTTGAGAAGTAGGAGAGAATCACAGTCACAATTTGATTCTTGCCTTATAATGACCCACATTTTTCCACCCAGTTCTATGAGTAGATGGGAACATACACCGACAGAATAAAAATATAAGCATACAGAAGGATAGGTCATCATATTTGACATGAAATAGAGGCACTTCCACAAAATGTACTTAACAGCTTTGAAATCTATTACTAAGCAGGGATAGCCTTTCACTGTGAATTTGTCCCTTGCCTATCGCAGCAGGGCTTTTATCTCAGCAGCACTTCAAAGTGCTCTTTTGAAGGCAAATAATAATTAAAAATAAAGTTGTGCAGCCTGGAACAGACGAGCATAATGATTGCACTTTAGGTTCACCCCTGCTATTGAGAAATGCTTGATTCTAGTGTTGTTACCCATTTTCTGTTTAGCAGCTGTCTCTGAGATGCTAAACGTCTCTAAAGCTGTAATGATCTCTTGAAGATAAAATGTTCGCTGCGATTGTCTTGTTAAATTTCTTCTCTGCCTCCAGCTCTTAAGGCAAAGCCCTGTGAGGTACCACAGGCAGTAGCTACCACGACACATGCCTTCCTCCATCTTCTCTGTGTAACCATTTTTTAAGCAGGGCTCAGTCCAGGGACAATTACAGCTAAAGAAATCTCTGGTAAGGGGACAACCCCATCAGGAACCGTGCAGAGTGGGGCTGCAAGAAGCTTGGGCCAGATCATCTGAAGTTTTGTAGGTATTTAGTGGCCAGAGGTAGTGAGGCACAAATTTCCTTTAAATTACCATCTTTGGTGCCTCTGTGTGCAGATTGCTGCTTATCTTATTGAAAGAGCCTGGAATATCAGGGAACGATTGCTGTGCATGAAAACATTTCTTGCACTGGAGAAATAGCCCTGAGGAAGCCAGGATGAGTCACAGCTATTGCAGAGCTGAAAATTGGCCCATTTGTGCACGGAGAACACCGTGTCCGGGACACATCAGCGCTGCAGGCTGCGTGTGGGTCAGTTGCCAGCATATGCACAGCAGCTGCCCTTGCTGGAGACAGCACATGTGTGCAGCCT